AGATGGCTGTAGACTCTCACTTTTGTGCCTCTTTCTTTGCCTCCTCTGTACCTATTAACAATGGTTTCAACCGTAAGACCTTTTGTTGCTGATTTTCTGTCCATTTCTTCTTTAATTCAGAGGTTCCAAAAACATAGTGTAACTCTATTATATGTATTATTTGCCTGCAATCTATACATATTTCTCTTCCTGAGCACACTCAGCCTGTACCCTGGGTTTCCATCAAGCAATCTAGAAAACAAAAACAAGGAAAGTAGAAAGGACATCTTGCTTCCTACAGATACACTTCAGCACTCATCTGTAAAGAGTGAATTTTTCTTTGAAATGCCTCATATGATAATTGGCCTGGATGTGGGGAGTTTTGCATGGCTTGGGTTGGGTTGGGTTGGGTTGACTGAACAAACTCTTTTTAAAAAGTATATATATAATATACAAATAAACTGGTCTGCATTTCAATACTGTTTTTATGTCTTTTAAAAAATTTGTGTGTGTGTTACAGCATGCACTGTATGTGTAGATCATATTGACCATTTACCTTTTTTGCCAATGCAGTTATACTTTGTTTAACATTTTCACACGGGAAGGTGCTAATGAGAAGAGCTTATGGTGTGCATATTTACAAGAAGAAGCAGTTTTTTATTTCAAATGACAGGGTTTCAACTTCATGTAGAAATTTAATCTATTTACTCAACCTTAAAAGCTATAACAAAAAGTTGATTATATCGTTGTATCCTGGAGCAGATGTACATTTGGTTTAATGCGATTCTAAATGAGACTTTAAATGGACTTTGCCTTCATATGCTGAAGAAAACTGCTGACATCCTAAAAGCACTTTTAGTTGACAAAGTTTAGTAGCAAACCTGTAGGCTAAATGCTCTTTGTTCGTATCAATTATCAGTAGAGTGTATTTGAACACTTACATAAACACATTCTCTGTTCCAGCATCTTAAGGTTCAGTCTCTCATAGCCAAAATAATGTCTTGAGCACCACCTTGTAACTGATTGGCACCTTTGCTGGCTCGTGGGCTCAGTAATAGGTTGATCCGTTAATTAACACTGTGTCTCAATCATGCTGCACAGCACGTGGTTTACCCTGATGTGCTTCATTTAATTATTTCCATAACTTTGTTCAGCATTTTGGTTATGCCTCTGCAGAGATGCTTAAACAGAAAGTTTCTAGTCAATCAGTAAAGCTTAAGATCTTTTTATCGGTCAAGTCGCAGTGCAGGCTGACCAACGGATCAACTCTAGAAATACATCATCGTTGATTATATCATAATCATCTTTCTTTAAGTCTGTTATTAAAAATATAATTAAAGTTTATATAAAGGCTTTCATATAAATCAGTTTGGCTGTCTGTGAGTGTGGTGACACGGTACTTTTTTTACCCAATTATGGTAATATAGGTCCAGGTCTGGACTCTTTCCCTTCCACCAGTGAAACTTACATTAGATATTAAGTAAGGAAATAATGTGGCTGGAAATTACTGTACTCTAAACAGTAAGGGTGGCACAGCAACGGTCATATTAATTGATATAAGGTCGCCTCTTTTATGTTTTCTTGTCTTGTTTTTCTCATGAAGTGATTCCCCTAACTAAAAGCAGTCCCTTTCATTTAAAGTCAACTTAACTCAACAAACCTACAGCAGCTAATGCAAGTCTCTAATGAGCACTGAAGTTATGCTTTGCTGCACAAAATTCATTTGCTGCTTAACCCAACACAAAACCTCCCACTTGGGTTTCTTTAGTTCATGTAGATATCGCTTCATTGGCACTAAACTTGCCACACCGTGGACTCACACAGAGTGTGCGTAGTCATGCATACAGTTATGTTTGTGTTTTTGGGGAGGGGCAAGGAACATATGGCGCCATCGTCACTGAGTGTAGCGGTCCAGATCACACAGCCCCTACCTCCTCCACACGGCACACTGTTGTTTATGCTCAATCACACACACAGGGACACACTCTCATGAAATGATAGCTAGAGGCCCCTTTTTGAGTGTGTGACAGTGAGTTGAGTGTGTGACAGTTAGATGATGAAGGTATGGGCAGGTAGATGGATGATGATGATGATTGTGGAGATATAAATAAAATGGTGAGCTGGATGAGGGAGAAAAGGGTGGCTCGGGCAACAGCGATCGAAGCTGTAGCTGAGCTGAAGAAAAGACAAGTATAAACTGGATTTACTCCTGTGAAGACTTATGATATAGTCTGCACATGAGCTGCTGTGCACTAGCCCAAAATATAATTAATTAATAATTAAAAAAAATCATCTTTTTGGCATTGCTTGGAATAATGATAAAGATCCTAAAAGGTGGTCAGATTAAAACAGATATTTTTTTATGTTTTCAAGCTAATATGATACATAAACAACCTACCTACAGACATGTATTCTACAGACTTTCTTTTTTAACTTACTTTTATTCATCCACATAATACATCACCAAACAAAGAGCAAAATATACAATAAACATGTAAATCCCAAAATTCCAAATCTCAGTTACAAACATCCATTAAACCTTCTTTCAAATAAATGTATGTATAAATTAATGATCCTCATTTGTGTTTTTTATGAATACCATGTGTCAAGTACTTGAAACTAGCAGACTTGCTGCTATATCTGCACCAATGGAGACAGACTATGGAAAATGACTCGCAATGATGGAGGCAGGAAAAATGAAAGTGTACTAAAGGTGCAGATGTCTAAGGAGCTTGGAAGAAAAGCGTCTGGACTTCTTTAAGTTGCTTGAAGACGTTTCACCTCTCATCTGAGAAGCTTCTTCAGTTCTAGGGTCACAAGGTGGCCCAGATTTAAACCCTGTGGGAGTGTCCCCCCCAAGAGGGACAAAAGGACCCCCTAATGATCCTCTACCTAATCACATGAGCCAAGGTGTGAAAATAGGTGTAGGTCACAATCAGCCAAGGTTTCGGGTGAGCTCATTGTGAAACCTGACCCACCCTATCATGTGATTTCCTGAGGTCAGATGGCCCAGGATGTGAATGGCATTAAGGCATCTGGAAGGGATCTCAAAACTGGATTATAGATGGCAGACAGTTGGTGTCGTAAACCACCGCCTCTGTTCAAAGATTGTCGCTCACAGTGGACATAAAAACATTTATGTCCACTGTGACTACGATGACCTTGATGACTGAGAACCTTCACAGACATAAAGGTTGCAGATAAAATGTAAAGCCTCAGTCGGAGATAAGGGGTGTCGCAACAGTGGTTATCAACTTTCTCTACTTCTCTGTGTGCTCATGTAAAATAACAGTGCTTCAAATGTCATATGACTCCACACAGCATGATGCCGTGAGTGCCACCTCATCCAATCAGAGGTGTTTTCAGACAACGACCTGCTCCCAGCCACGTTAGCTGTAGCAGAAGTCACTGTTGGTTAGCACAGGAAAAAACAGCTAAAAAATAATGATGAATATATTTTCTTGATTTCAGAATTTTCAACTCAGTTGTATTAGTGTGATGTTTTTGGATTTATATATTGTTACTTCCTGTTTTATTTTATAATCTGCTCTCAGTTTTACTTCCTGTTGTTTTTGTGTTTTTTCCTGCGTTAAATTTCCCCCTAAATATAAGAGATGGTGATGAGATGAAAAGTATTTGTAATCAGATTCATGAAATTAGTTGAGTTTTTAGTTTTCTTAGTAGATGTTTGTGTCCCATATATATGACCTTTATCTTCTGATCTAAGATTTAAATGGGAGGACCAGGATGGGCAGGATTAGAAAAAGTACATCTGAGGGACAGCTCAGATGAGCAGTATGGAGAAAAAGTAAGAGAAGCAAGGCTGAGATGGTTTGGACCATGTGCAGAGGAGAGAAAGTGTATGTACTGGGAAAAGACTATTAAAAATGGAGCTGCCAGGTGGGAGGAAAAGAGAAAGTCCAGAGAAGGAGGGCTGGTGTGACAGAAGAGGATGCAAGGATTTGGGAGGATGGAGGCACTGTGCCGAACCCTAAAGACGGAGAGGGCCTTAGTATAGACAGCAGAATGTGCATGCAGGGCAGTAAAAACTGTGGCTTCTATTATAATCATTAATTCACAGCAGGGCTCAATGACAATGAGACAATGTCTCATGTGAGCTGAAGATATAAACAATGTAAATGTACACACACAAGTTTGTGTGTCCTCTTACGCAAGACGAAGCAGCTACGCATGTGAAGCATGCACACACACACACACAAATGATTTCACTCCCTGTCAGATGTCATTTGCCAGATGACCAAACAGAGAAAATAAATTTCACACTTCTGATTGGTAAATTAGCCTGTGTTTATATGTGTTCATTTCTCTGTCTTTAGAAACCCATGATGCCTTGTGGCAGACTAGCTTCCTGAGTCCCCAGCTTCATTGTTATGGCTAGATGTAAATTAAAGTGAAATGAGGCAATCAACTGATTGTACACGCAACGTTGAGTTCATCTGAGTTGATCTGTGAAAACAGCAGGGAGTTTTTCCAAAGTTTTGACAGAGTAACCCTGATGATGTCATCAAGGCAAACCTGGAGCCTATGTAGAGCATCGTATATTTCCCTGAGAGCTGCTATGGAAAATTTCCTGTTCAAATTTCACAAGGAATATACAGTGGGATGCAAAAGTTGGGCAACATTGTTAATAGTCATTATTTTCCTGTATAAATCGTTGGTTGTTACAATAAAAAATGTCAGTTAAATATATCATATACAGTGGGGCAAAAAAGTATTTAGTCAGCCACCGATTGTGCAAGTTCCCCCACCTAAAATGATGACAGAGGTCAGTAATTTGCACCAGAGGTACACTTCAACTGTGAGAGACAG